GCTGGTGCTCAACTATCAAGGAAGCCTCAGGTCCCTCTTTACAGTCCTGCCCATGGCATATGGGTGGGCAATTCCTCACCTCAACATTACTTCCAGACCCTGTGTCTATGCTCCCGTGTTCTGTGTGCACATTCATGACCTATGTAAGACCACGCATATCGATTATGGGAACATCTTCCATCTGCAGTTCTAACCTATCCCCTTGTCTGCAGAGCATCAAGAAGAGTGTGTCAAAAGAAAGCATCTAACAGATAAAATCTTAAAAGACACGCCCTCGCCTCAAAAAGCCATGTCCTTCACCCGCATGATTGATGTTAGGTGCCTATGTGTGGTTACCAATTCTCTACAATGTTGGGCTCCGAGGTATACACGGGGTTAATCACCATCTAGCCCACTGCTAAAATTCAAAAATTTCAACTGACTTTGTAATAATGAAATGTGGTGAGAAATATTCAGAAAGGCCTACAACGCCCACTAAGATGTCTTTTTGACCCCTCTCCCCTCTGAGACCAGTAACAGAGTGTAACATGCGAACTGAATTAACTAGACATTCTCGGTTGTCAAGCTCCACATAACGGGCCCACCGCCAGGAAAACACGTATTATATGTTTTGGTAACTTCCCACAAAAATAAAAGCAATACAAATGTGTCTCACACACAATGCTGATGGGATGGGTCTAAGTCAGACTTCATTGCCCGTCACCTTGATTTCTGCCTGGTTGCCTTAACTCTCAACATTGGAATTGTAAAGGCTTTTCAGGTGATTCAAGTAGAGTGTTGTACAGACAGCACCAAGAAAGGAAACGTCTGTAGCCACGATCCCCTGAGACTAACGATAGTTATAAAAAAAAATGTTTTTTTCATCTAATTCTTTAGGAGAGGTTGATTTCAGCTCACAAACTGGGCCTTTGGTTTTGGGTCAGAGTTACGGTTTCTGGGGTTTAGCTCCAGGGGGCTAAAAATGGACAGCACTCAAGTGGCTTTCATTAGCTTTGGTCGTGTCTGGTGCTGGCTGATGGTGCCCTCCAGAACTCTCCTGTGGGACCCTTGCACAGCGATGCTCTAGGGTAGACATGATGAACCTCCACTGATCTATGATGTAAGAACCAACGTGAGCTTATTGGGCTTGTTTTTCTAATGGAGGTACACGTGTGACTCCTCTTCCAGATGTAAACATCACAGTAATTCTCTCTAAGTACTGCTGTGCAAAGTCCTTGCAGGTCTGGGTAGTAGGGGCTATAGACCTGCTCCTCCTACAGTATAGGGAACACCTGTGGGTAATTGTTCAAACCTCTATTACTCTTTCCTGAGGTGCTAAGTGGTACAAATGTTTTTCAAATTCAAGTTAATAAATGATAATTCTGTAATATACTTGGATACTTGGAGGTTCAGGTATTTCCTGGTCTGGAAAATGCCTTCTTTAAGGCAAATGCAAGTAGTCAAGGAGTTGGTCATGTACAGGGCACCCCCTCTAGATGGGGTGATTCGTTAGCATGCTGTTGACAGAATAGGGGGACAATGCCAACAGGAAATAAGAGGGAAAGGCCGTTCAAGCAAAAGGACACCTCTTCAACATATTCTTGCTGCTGCAGGGACCTGGTTTCCCCAACACCTCAGTCCCAGTGGACACGCAACTGTTCATTACGTCAATTAAAAAGTACATTCCAGACATGGGCACATGAAACGGCAAACGTGACAGCACAAACACAGACATGCTGGACACGAGAGTAATAGGAAGCCCACAATGAGTGTAGCTACTGAGTATAATTGTCTCCTTGTCCCCAACTGTCCCGCATTCCAGCTTTATCTCAGGGCGAGGGGTCTTTAACTGCTAAACCTGTTAACATTGTCTTGTATATTTCATCTGCTTGAATAATAACTAATCTATTCCGGTTCCTCCCCTCTCTAGCACCGAAACTCTCTTCTGAGCATGTTTCCGGTATTTTCAAGAATCCATCAACATCAGCTAGCTCTACCCAAGGAGTGGACATTGCCACTGGCAAATTACTTATTTACAGTCTGTTTTTCCTCTGAAATGTAAAAACCAGGAGGGTAGCCTTACTTTGTTCAGTGTTGTACCCTTTACTGGCTTCAGCAACGTTTCTGCCGTGTTTCTGCCATGTTCTGCCATGTTCTGCCAACGTTTCTGCCATCCAGGCTCTGGATGATGTTTGCCAAATGAATTGGTAGATGAGCGGATAAATGAATGAATATCCATCAGCCTGCTTACCATGATCCCCAAGACTGACAAGTACTTGTTATATGAAGCTGCTGCTGGGCAAACTGGACCAGTGTGGTGACTAGAATGGTTTTATACACTAAGGCAAAGAAGGAACATGTAACAAGGGGTTAGCCGGCCTTTAGGTAGCCGAGACCCTAAGGGAACAAGTTGCAAATAATATGATGCAAATTGTTTTTTTTTTTTTTTAATCCTCCTGAGCGGGGATTGTTTGGTATACTTCTGTGCGAATCAGCCGGACAGTAAATATTTTCAGCTCTGCAGGCCACAGGACTCTGTTGCACCTATACAAATGTTCTGCTGTGGTGCAAAAGCACCCAGAGATAACTCGTCAACGAACAAGTGTTCCAGTACAATCTTACGTATGGACACTGAAATCTGAATTTCACATAATTTATTCTTCTTTGGATCCCTCCCTCCCAGCTATTCAAAATGTAAAAACCTCTGTTAGCTCTGGGGATTTGGCTCATGATCTGTGGTTTGCCAACTCTGGCTCTTGACAAGCACCAGGCTATCACTCTAATGAATCCCTCAACCTGTGAAGAAACCAAACCCTTCAGAATGACCCCGTCTCTTCCTCTATTAGAGCAAACTCTGAAGCAAAAATATTACAAGGACTATCACAGGTAACTACCACATAGTAACTTCTGGCCACATGATCTTCTTTGGTTCCTATCACAAGTTGAAAACCCTGCCTTTGATTGGATTTAGGGCTGAAGGATGAAGGGAAATCTATGAACAAATGAAATCCACAAATAATCAAAGAATCCTCTTAAAAGGTCTGTAACACCACCAGGCCACACCCACCAAAAAACAACAAGAAAGCTGCCAGGAGATAACCACTTGACTTACTGATGGTCTAACTCCTTTCCTTCTCTTGCCAGCTCTTGGGGAGAGTGAGGAATAATGAATAAAGTAGATCATCAGTTTCGGAGAAATGAACAATGGCCCCACAGTCAAATCCAGACTCTGGAACAGTTACTGGGGCAAACCATGACACTCGGTCGAACACTGTATTCTAGCTGAACATTAAGAATTTAAGTTTATCCACTGAATAAATGCAGGAACTTGTATCACTTCGTAACCACCACTACGTAAAGATTTAGGTAGTAATAGCCATATGGTTTGTTCTGTTGAAACCAATTTTTAAAGGGCTTATCACACATCAGTAAGAAGTGAACTTTGGTGGGGAGATAAATAACACTATTGTTTTGCTTCTGAATAAGCGTGCTAAATTTAAAGATGTTTCCAAAGAGTTATGTAAAAATTTGGGGATTTTATGACGTGCCCTTAGCCTGTATGAATATCCCACTGTTCTAATAAGTTCTTATCTTGTAGTGTGAATGGAAAAATATTAACTAGCTAAAGAAAATAACTTTAGAGACAATCTTACTTAAAAAATGTAATTTGTCATATAAGATGATAACTAATTTAAAAAAATCCTCTCTATCCTGAAAAGTCACAACAAAAAGTTTAAGTGTGTTTTGGCTGATTTTTCTCTGCAACTATTTGAAGCTGTAAATGACTTAACTCAGTAAAATTCCAAATGTAATTATCTTCTGTACTTAGCCTAGGGCTCTCCATATATCTCGGCATTGCTGTCTTGCATACAAAATAGGCTTTTCGATGGCTGGTAACAATATAATGTACAACATTGTTTTAATTTCCCCTAGTCGGCTAGCCTCTTGCCTACACTAAACCAGCCAGAGGAGGAAGCCACAGTGGGTCATCAAGCACTCAAAAGCATTTTGGAACTCGGTTGCATAAATGGGGTTTGCAGGGTCAGGCTTTTGCAATTGTACATTTTAATAATCTCCATTTCTGACCCAATTTTTACTTTTAGAAACTAATTTTCTATTAATTATACCAAGAAGGGAATTATTGTTAAAATATGGTGGTCCGTCAACAAGTGACATCAAAAGTGGAACCCACATTTAAAAATGGCCCCCATCCCTCACAACTGTGATCCCCAGGAAAATCTGCAGACGTTTATTTTCTATAGTCACAAAATACATTCAACATGGCCCAACAAACTGCCAAAAATAAGATTATATATATATGTGTGTGTGTGTGAGATATGTATATATTATATATATGAGATATATATATATAATGTATAACATTATACATACATTATATATATATATACATATATATATATCTCAATACGTGCCTGTATGCATGTGTGTGCATATTTAAAATATTTAAATTGTGTGCACTGACAGGAGGAATAAATCCACATGCAGCTTCTACCTTAACCTCAGACAGCATGCTCACGTGCGTGCATGCGTGCGTACTGGCCCAGTCTTGCTGATGCTCCCATGTGCCTTCCATCCCCATCCATCCTCTCTCAGTCTCTCTCCCTGGCTCGGCTGCCTAGCTCCAGGTTAGGGATCATGGCAAGTTAGGGGACTTACATTAACAACAGGCAACTGAAGTTTTTAACTTAGAGCGTTTCCCACTTGCAGGAGAAGACAAAAGGGAGGGGAAGCGAGAGAGAAATGGAAAGCTAACAGAGGTAGTGGGGAGTTCGCGGCATACACAGAGACGCACAGGACTTTGAAACGTCTGAGCGGCAGTTCCAAAGAAGGAACTGAAGGTGAACGTTCCCGAAGAGTGAAAAAGAAAAGAAAAGAAAGGACAACAACAGGTTTTGGACCTTCCATTCAATAATGAGTACACAGGAACTCATTTCAGAACACTACAGAAATTTGGAATTTGAGGAATACTGAGGTAATATTAAAAATAAATTTGGTTTTAC